ATGGGGCTTCACATGGATGTTGGGGATCTGGAGTCGTGTCCTGTCCTCACACTTCCAGGGCAAGCCCTTTACCCGCCGAGCCACCCCCCCCCCACCCCCAGTCCATGCATCCTCATCGCATTTATAGTTTATAAAGCAAGGCTTTATGAGGGAGAACGGCTTGCCCCAGGCAGGTCACCACAGCTGAGTATCCTCCCGTCTTTGACACCACGAGTTTCCACACCGGGACCCCACAGTGCCCCGTCCACCAATCCCCACCAGAGAGTATCGTTGGATACATTCCTGCAAGGAAGACACCAGGGCCCAGAGATGCCACTTCTGAGTGAGGGCCCCCCCGGCTCTGTGTCCTCACAGGCTCCACAGCAATGCCGTGTGTGTGTGTGTGTGTGTGTGTGTGTGTGTGTGTGTGTTCCAGGTAGACAGATGTGATGCCTTTCTAAACCGGGACTGACATCATCTGTGGCACAGTGTCCCCTGGGCCGGCACCTACCCAGAAGAGACCCACTTCAAGGCCATGTCAGAGAGGGCGGGGAGATGATCCCATGGCGAAATGACTTGCTGAAGTCCACAGCTCTGGCACCCATGTGAGAGACTGGCATGGCCAGGTGCGTCTGTAATGCTAGCACTGGGAGGGTGCAGGTGGGGTGGAGACAGGCAGATCCCTGGAGCTCAGTGGCTAGCAAAAAAACAAAATAAAAAAACAAGGTCTTGGGGGGGAGAGAGAGAGACCCTCTCTCAAAAAAAAAAAAAAGGATGGAGCGTGATGGAGGAAACACCTGAGGAGTTCTGATCTCCGTGTCTCCGTGTGTTCACCAGAACACATACGTGCACATACACAGAGAAGGGCAGGGTCGGGGAGAGAGAACTCTCAACTCTGGCTGCTGCCTGTTCTCGGGAGTGTTTACTATAAACACTATAAACAGAGATGGTTGAAGTAAACACGGAGGTTTATTTTTAACTCTGCGGCTGGGAAGGTGGCCATGAGCTCAGTGACTCACTGCAGTGTTCAAAAAAGAACCTTCTCTCTCTCTCTCTCTCTCTCTCTCTCTCTCTCTCTCTCTCTCTCTCTACACACACACACACACACACACACACACACACACACACACACACACACACCAAAATTATACCTTCTACGTGGAATCAGAAGTCACTGACTCAGAAAACTATCCTTTACAGTACACAGTGTGAGTGCATCGCGGAGCCTGGTAGCTAGAAGCCGGTGGAGAAAGGTGACCGGGTGCAGCCACGCACAGCTGGCGCCACCCTGAGGACAAGCCGTGTAAGTGATGCCGGAGGCACAGACCACATGAGACAGATGACACAGACACACAGCCAGCTGGGGTCACCACCGTCCCCAAAGCTCCCATGAAGAAACAACGATACTGGCTCAGTTCGTCCTGGGCCTCTCTAGGGTCTTCTATCCAAGCAACACAGGCTGTGCTTGCAAGCTGCACCAGAGCTTGCCTGGCAAACGGTGCACCCTTGAACACAGGCTTCGGCAGCCAAGCGGGAGATGCAGAAAACTCTGCGCAGGTCTTTGTGTGGGCTGGGATCTGTTTTCTGTGGATTACTACAGCACCCTACACCGTCCAAGAAACGTCAGACAAGTTGACCACAGCAATTAAGTTGTCTGCCATCTGCGAGGGGCTTGGCTTACAGCTTGCTGAAGTTAAATATATTTTGAAAAGAGACAAGCCAAGTTTTTCGATGTTTTGCCTATCTGTCAATCTCCACCGCGTTAGCCTTGGAGCAGCTGAAGGGAGGATTGTTCTCCCTCAAGGAATCGTTTAGCGCTGGCATGCTGGAATTTCAGAACCCGAGGAGCACTCCAAAAAAATGAAGTACTCCTTGAGAAACCCCCGCGTCTAATCTTGGGGTTGGCAGAGCTTAAAGCCCTGCTAGGAAGTCAGCCAGGCTGCGAGATGAAGGGTTATTCTATCATCACCCCAGATGGCAAGCTCTTTTCCAGAAGCACCGGGCCTGAGTGAAAAGCCCAGGCTCACACCCCTGCCTCTGTTTCTTCACATCGAATGAGCATCTCCATGTGACAGTCAAACCTACAGTGTAGCACTCAGAAACCCTCAGCCTCTCAGCTGCATTTCCAGGCTGAGCTATGGGGACTGGAGGGAGGATGGGTCTGTGACCCTACTATGCACCTGCCTGGAACTATTCTGGACTTTTGTGGAGGCCCAGCTTTGACCAGAGTGACTTTCCATTCTTCTTGGGGACAAAGTTTTCCCAAGACTGATAAAAAAGCATTGGTGTGTGTGTGTGTGTGTGTGTGTGTATGTGTGTGTGTGTGTGTGTTTTGTTTTGTTTTGAATGATGAATGTTCCCCTCTGATCAACGTGTCCTCCTCGCCCGATAATAATGCCTTCCCGTCTTAAGACAGCGGAAAGCTGAGCGTGGTGGCTCACACCCGCAATCCCAGGAGTCTGGGGATAGAAGCAGAGGATTGAGTTCAAGGCCTGGATTACAACATAGCAAGGCTCTGCCTCACAGAAGAGGGCTAGAAGGAAGCTGGTGAGGATGGGTGTGGGGTGGGGTCATAGTGGTGGAATGCCGACAAACTGGTTCCCTAGGAAGAAAATCAAAGCCCTGGTGTGCAGCTGTTTTTGGTTTCCATGGTGTAAACACTCTGACCACTTGCAATGTCAAGCCATTGATAGTTCAACAGTCAGTCGGGTGGCTACACTCCTAAATACTCAGTTTCCCAGAAGCCGAGGGAGCCTGCCTCCACTCGAAGCGGCTCGACAGAAGGGAGGGTGGCTACCGCTCCCCGCATGCATTAGTGATTTGTGTACCCCTGTTAGTGGCTCGGCCAGCACTGATCAAATGCCAATCAAGGAGCTAGAGCAGGAGAAGAGGGCTCTGCCAGTGAGACCCGTGAGGACTGTGGCAAGTTGGTGTGTGTGTGTGTGTGTGTGTGTGTGTGTGTGTGTGTGTGTGTGTGTGTGTAACCCTGAGGGCTGAGGGTAAGCAGATCTTTGGAGCCCAGTAGCCAATCAGTCTGGCTAAACCAGTGAGTTCCAGCACAGACCCTGCTATCAAAAAGCTAAGGGGTTGGGAGGCTAGAGATATGGCTCAGAGCACTTTGTGTCCTTGCAGAGGACCCAAGTTCAGCTCCTAGAACCCGCATGGTAGCTAATGACCGTCCACAATTCCAGTTCCAGGGGAACCAATGCCCCCTTCTGGCCTCCATGTGCATCAGACACATGTGGTACGCAAGCAAACTCATACACATAAAATAAAAATAAATGAGCCTTTACCAAAAAAAAAAAATGCAGTGGAAAGTGACTAAGAAAGACACTAGCATCAACCTCTGAGCATCTCCCTCCCCCTCCCCCTCCCCCTTTCCTTCTCCCTTCCTCCCTCTCCCTTCCCTCCCCCTCTCCTTCCTCTCCCTCTCTATCCTTTGTCTCACCCTCTCTCTCCCACCCTCCCTCCCTCCCTCTCTCCCTCCATCTCTCTCTCCGTCTCTTATGCACACACACACACACACACACACACACACACGTACACAAATCTGTGGAGCAAATTCAAACCCAGACACCCCCATGTTTGCACAGCAAGTGCTCTAATGACTGAGATGTCTCCCTGCCTCCTCCTAACCCATCGGGCCTGGTCTTCAATTCTGCAGCACAAGAAAGTGACTTCTATTCTAAGTGACAGTCCACACAGATTCAGAGAGCTTCCTTGCCTGTCTGTCCACATACATGGACATATAACAGAGGGGGAGGAGAGCTGACTGTTCAGTTTAAAGAAAAACACATTACCTGAACTATCAGAGGACATGGATCCAAGACATTGTCAACAGCTCCTTCCCTACACAGCATCCCTGTGCAGACACTATTCATATGCGTTCTGAGCTGTGAGGATGTCCCTTTATAGATGGGGAAAACGAGGCTGGGGGAAGCCCGTAGCTTTTCTGAGGTCCCCATTGGAGAAGCAGGGCCAAAATCAAGCCCTGAGAGGAACGCTGTGGCTGTTTTCCTGGCCCCAGAATGTGCTATGCGGAAGGCAAGGAACTGACTCAGCATCCAAAGCGGTGTTCACGCCCCCACCCCGGGTATCTGTGGGCTCCGCTGACACAGGAACCTGTTCTGCTGGGCTCTGAACTCACAGAGGAGGAGGGCGGGCGGGTAAAGGAGTTGCCCTCGGGGTGGCCATGTTGAACTGAGGGAGACTTCAGGGTCGGGTAAGAACGGAGCAGTGAGGCCGTCTCCCGGGGCTGGACCGTGCAGCTAGCATGCACGAGGCACTCACTGAGTCAGAGCCCCCAACAGCAGAAGACTAAGGGCGTCGCTCAGACCAGAGCAGGTCCTCAGCGTGGCCAAGGCCCTGGCTTCCATCCCAGCCCCGCAACAGACCGTAATAACATCGCTATTATGCTAATATTGTATGATGATAGGGGTAACGATCAGCGTCCTGGCTGACAAAGGAACCCCAGACGTGAAATTGAAAGGGAATAGTGTGGGAGTATTGAGGAGGGATTGGAAGGAAGGAGAGGGGGGAATGGAAGAGAGGGGAAGGGAGGGGGAGGGGAGGGCATGGACTTGATCAAAAAACCCATAGATGTATGTATGAAATTTCTCGGTGAAAAGAAGAATTCAGGGAGATTCAACACAGCCTTTTAAAGGAGCTCTATTTAGCTCATATCACCTACAAAAAGGTGAAAATGAGATTTTTGTTTTTTCACCCACTGGGCCTCTCAATGTCAGCAGGACGTAAAAAAAAAACTATAAAGAAATGCATACTTTGAAAGAAAAGCATTTTGACCTAAAAAGCAAGCGTAAATCGAATTATTTCACACAATGGAGCAACAGTGCCACTCTGGCACATTTATCATTTCACAGAGTTTATCCCCACAAAGCTCTTTTGAGGAAATCCTTGGAAGGTTTAACGTGGCCAGAAGAAGAAAAAGAAAAAAAGAAAAAAAATAGAAAATGAATCCAAAAAAAAAAAAAAGAGACTAAACGAGTAAGGCTCTGTACACATTTCATCCAAAAAATATGTTTTTAAAATTGGTAAGTCAAAAATATTAGCTGGGAACACATCTCAGTCGGTAGAGTCCTTGCCCGGCGTGCCCGAAGTCCTAGGCTCAACCACTGGCATACACAAACCGAGCGTGGTAGCACACACCTGTAAATCCAGCACCTGGAAGGTGGCAGCAGAGAGATCAGAAGTTGGGCTCTCTCAAAGAAGGAAACTTTAGGTTTTTGCCGCCTTGGGTCCGGTCCCCAGCAGAAGACCCTGAGGTAGAGGTTCGGGGGAGAGGGATTCATGGCAGGCTGCTGGAGAAGGGCGTGTCATTAGAAATCTGCTTGAGTAAAGGTCTGGCACGCAGGCGGTGATACGGGAAGCCAACAGGAAAAATAAAAATGACAATACCAGCATCCTTGTGTCATTTGAGGTTAAAAAAAAAAAAAAGGAATGAGCTTCGAACAGTAAAATGTGACACAAGGATGTGGAAACGGGACTTAGTGGGTTAGGGTGACGGGAGCGCCCAACCCTCAGCTTCACGTGCAGACAAGGACAGCTGTGGATGTCACTGGGGACATGGAAACGACCCAGCGAGAAATCACAAACCTACTCAAAACATTGTGAGGGGTCTTAAGATTCTGCAGACGGCAACATCGGGAATGTCGGGCACGTCTAGCCGACGCTCCAAGGCGCTGGACCCTGCGTGGTCCTCCCAGTCTGTGTCAGCTCCATCAGGGTTGTGTCCAGGGAAGGAGTGAAGGCCCCGTGCTTGGTAGAAGAAGACAACCTTCCCCGATGGTCTACGTGGCGTGGACTCCAGGTATAGATGCCTCCTACTGTGACCCGGCTCACCTCTGTCGGCCAGCTCTCCCACCCTGAGGGACAGGGCACCAGAGGTTTGTGCACACTGGGCTGAAAGCTCCCTTTGGCTGTTTGCTTTTTTTAATCACAAGCCTTTAATATATTCATGGTCTTTGACTCAGTGTTTCCACTTCCAGAGACGTCTCCCAAAGAAACAGTGCTCTGAGCTGTGATGACTACTTTCCCGGACGTCACTTCCCAAAACAGAACGAGGCCCTTTCTGAGCACACGCTCCTGGCTCGTGACTATACACGGACGCTCTCCTGAGGATTCAGTCTGAATCTGTAAATAGCCCTGGAATGAATGCCAAAGGGAAAAGTCGCATGTGGCCAAGACTGGGATCACTGACCTTCCAGAACGTTCTTGATTTTGTGACAGCAAGATGGCATCTCTAACAGAAGGGGGACTGCAGACCTGGCAGGAGTCCACACAGCCCAGGACTGACTCCCGATGACCCAGGAAAAGGAAACCAGAAAGCACCTGGCTTGGAAGCCACAAACCCCGCCCCTATGGTGCACTTCCTCCAATAAGGCTGCTCCTCCTAGATCTACCCCAACAATGCCGCCAGCTGGAGACTGAGTCTATGGGGGACATTCAAACCGCCAAGGTGCTGGATTAGGCATTGTTCATCATCCATTGTGAACAATAGTGCTGGAGTAACCGATCTTATTCACGTGTAGGAGCATCCGCGCGAATATGATATGTGCACGCATCCACATACGTGCACCCGTTAACGTAGCTACGGGATATGGGATACAGTCCAAGTAGAAAAATCTTTGGCTCAAAGGTAGAACCCATGAGGCATTGACTTCTCCATCTTTAGTGATGATATCCTGTCGACCACAAGCCCTCTTCACGGCATACAGGGCAGAGAATTCTTAGCCAGGGGCTTCCAGTTTATACTGTCTGGACCCTCCAGAGAAGTCACTGTCTATGCCAGCCATAACCTTACAAGATCCATTCCCTAAATAACAACACATGCACGTGCGCTGAGCCCTTGATCCATGGAGGTTATGGAGTCACCAGACGTGGAAACGGATTCTATCTCATTGGACATCCTCCACCCCAGCTGTCTTAGTGACTGTTCCATTGCCGTGAAGAGACACCATGACCAGAGCGACTCTTGTGAAAAAAAGTATTTAATTGGGGGCTTATTTACAGTGTCAGAGGCTTAGTGTTTTTGAAAGAAAATGGTCCCCAAAAGGAGGGGCACTATTAGGAGGCATGGCTTTGTTGGAGTAGGTGTGGCCTTGTTGGGGCACTATTAGTGGGCGTGGCTTTGTTGGAGTAGGTGTGGCCTTGTTGGAGGAAGTGTGTCGTTGTGGATGTGGGCTTTGAGTTCTCATATATGCTCAAGCCACACCCAGTGTCCCAGTTCACTTCCTGTTGCCTGCAAGATGTAGAACTCTCAGCTGCCTCTCCAGCACAGCGTCTGCCTGACACCACGTCCCACCATGAAGACAGACTAAATTTCTGAAACGTTAAGCCGCCACCTCAGTTAAGTGTTTTCCTTTACAACAGTTGCTATGGTCGTAATGTCTCTCCACAGCATCGGAAACCCTAACCCAAGACAGTCCATTACCATCATAGCAGGGAGCCAGAGAAGTAGCACTTTTGTTTTTTTGTTTGTTTTCTTTTTTAAGATTTATTTATTACATATACAGTGCCTGGCATACATACCGGAAGAAGGCACCAGATTGAATTGTAGATGGCTGTGAGCCACCATGTGGTTGCTGGAAATTGAACTCAGGACCTCTGGAAGAGCAGTCAGTGCTCTTAACCACTGAGCCACCTCTCAGGCCCGGCATGGACTTTTGAAAGCTCAAAGCCAACCCACAGTGACACACTTTCTCCAACAAGGCCACGCCCCCCTAATCCTTCTAATCCTATCAAAGAGTTCCCACTCCCTGGTGACTAAAGCATTCAACTCCACGAGCCCATGGGGGCCAATCTTATTCAAACCACCACACAAGCCCTTGGAGGACCAGTGCTTTGTTGACGGGGAGGTAGCGTTTTTTTGAAAATGATTTCCTGAGGAGAATATCGCAGCAGCGGTCTTAACGCGCAAACCAGGTTATAACAGAGTAGAGTGTGTCTACCAGTCAGAATGACCAGCCAGAGAAGCGAAGCTTCAACCTGAAGCCAGTGCATTGGCTTCCAACAAGACATGCATTGAGGTGCTGTGAACCCGGGGATCTTCCCTCTGTGCTCTGGCAGCCCTAGATTCCCTTTCCTCCCAGTAGAAGGCTTCCTCATCATTTAGTGTAGTCACCTACTCCATAGAGAATTCGCTGCAGTCTGCCCCCACGCCAGCCACCCTTCCTGTCCTGTGGTGACTCATATTATCTACTGGGCTATAGATTTAGAAACACCAAGGAGACATCTATTGGAGCATTGTGTGGGGGCGTTTCCAGAGAGTCTTAACTGAGAAGAGAGGAGCCACCCTGAACGCGGACAGCATCATCCCTGGCTTGAGGTCCTGGCTGGTGCTGCACCGTGACTGGCTGCCCCACACCCCTGTCACCGCATCTACAGTCATCCGGACATCCTGCTCTCCCCACCGCCATAGTCTTAACTCTGGAAGTACGAGCTCGGGGCTACTTGGGTCGTACTTACCTGGAGCAGCCTCTTCTCTTTCCACCCTCAGAGCTGACTTTGAAGATCCCTCTGCTACAGGGAAGTGACAGGCACTCAGGAGGGGAGGCTGACAACGCTTCTGAATGTCTCCGGCCCTGGAAGAAATATGTATCTCAGCGATTGCGTGCCACATCTCACACACAACTGACACCTCTGCCCCCTCCACGCTGCCAGGGATTTCAGAGACAATCTGACTTCAAGCACGCACCACGGGCTCGTCATGACACTGACATGGCAGAAGACCTCCCTCTGTGTGTGTGTGTGTGTGTGTGTGTGTGTGTGTGTGTGTGTGTGTGTGTCTGAGCCTGTAAGAGGACCCTCCACTTTACCCCCCTGGCCTATACTCACCTCAGATCTCCCACCATGCTACTCTGTTTCTGTGGTGTTTATAGCCCTCTTGATAAATTTCTTACCCAAAAGGGCAAGCTGCCTGCCTCAGTGTCCCCTTGGGACTCTAATCTGAGAGCTCATAACTCATCATTTGACTAACTGGCCTGAGTGCAAATTTCCATTCTGCATCAGCCTTCAACCTGCCTTTCTCCCTAAGGCTCATCGTCTGGCTTTTAATTTAAATAAGATTCCTAAGATCCCCAACTTGGCAACTTTGTTTAGAAGCCATGACAGGGATATTAATTAGCCTAACTTCAACATTACATGTCTCGGGAGACAGGGGAGTCCTAAAATAGAGAAGAAAAGAGATGTGGCACCAGCCATAATGCACACTCATAACAGCCATCACTTGTGGGATCACTTTCGTGGCCCCCAAATCAATTACAATATTAATATACAGCAATTGTTCATCAAGAAGTAAACAGGGAAAGAGAAAAGGCTCAACAGTCTTCCTCTCGGTCCCCCTCCCTCTCCCCCTCCCCCTCCCTCTCCCCTTCCCCCTCCCCCCTCTCTCTCTGAGCCCACTGTTCTTGCTGAGAATGCAAATTCGGTTCCATTTGGTTCAGGTGGCTCACAACTCTCTGTAAGTTCAGATCCAAGGGATCCAACATCCTCTTGTGGCCTCCACGCACACATAATTTAAAACTTTTAAATAAATATTAAAAATAAAAAAAGGTGGCGTTGGACATGATAGCACTCATCTTTAATCCCAGCACTCAGGAGGCAGAGGCAGGTGGATCTCTGTGAGTTCAATGTTAGCCTGGTCTACTGAGCAAGTTCAAGGCCAGGGAGGTCTACATAGTGAGACTGTGTCTCAAAAACAAACAAATAATAATAATAATAATAATAACTAAAGTTGGGCACGGGGACTTAGGGAGGCTGAGGCAGGAGGACAAGTTGAATCCAGCCGGGATACTTTAGGAAGAGAAGATTTCTTTGAAAGCCTAGGGAATGGGAGGGGAACTCAGAGGTAGAGTCAAACTCTGCATCCCTAGCACTGATTACAGACACTACAGCAGTTATAACGCTAAACAGAGGAGTTTTAAAAAAAGAAATGCCATGAGAACCATTGACAACATGACTTAAGAGTCTTGAAGGGACTTGTGAAAATGGTGCCAAAAGACTTGGCCACGGCAATATCATCCTCAGACTTTCAGTTTGTAAGAGCCATGACCACTCTGAGGTACAACACAAGTCCCCCTCAAGTGAGTGGGGGAGGGGCCTCTGCACATCCCACCTTGCCTAGATGCTACAGGGTGTGAGTAAGTACACTACCTGCCAGCACTCAGGGAGAGGAGAAAGCATGGGAGGTCATGAGGAGGTGGAGTTTACAGGGACAAGGGAGGTCCACCTCAGCCCCCTTAGAAATCCATCACTGGACTCTGGCATCTCCTGGCCTGGGGACTGCAGTCAGATCAACTCACCCCCAGTGGACCCAGCAACCTCGAGCCTGCTGAGATTGCTGGGCCGCTCCACCCCCCACTCAGAGCAGAGGAAGAGAACCTTGGACCCACACCCACAAGGAGAGGAAGATACCCCAGCTATACCCACTGGAAAAAGGGATGGGAATACCATAATATAAGAACACATTCAACAACAAGAAAACCAATATGATGCCACCAGAGTCTAGGGACACTACACCAGCAAGACCTGAACATGCCAACACAGATGAAGCAGAAGAGAACGACCTTAAAAACAACTTCATGAAGATGATAGAGACCCTAAAAGAGGAAATGAGAAAATCCTTTAAATAAATGGAAGAAAAAAACAAACCAAAAATTGCAAGAAACAAATCAAGCAGAGCAAGATTTGAAAGCTGAAATGGAAACAATAAAAAAAAAAAACTGGAATGCTGGAATTAGAAAATGTGGGTAAATGATCAGGAACTACAGATGCAAGTATAACCAACAGAATACAAGAGATGGAAGAGAGAATCTCAGGCATTGGAGATACACTAAGAGAAATAGATTCATCCACCAAAGAAAATCTTAAGTTCAACAAACCCATAGCACAAAATATTCAGGAAATATGGGATACTATGAAAAGGCAAAAGCTAAGAATAATAGATATAAAAGAAGGTGAAGAAACCCAACTCAAAGGTGCAGAAAACATATTCAACAAAATCATAGAAAAAAACTTTCCCAACCTAAAGAAAGACATGTCAATGAAGGTACAAGAAGCCTACAGAACACCAAATAGAGTGGACCACAAAAAAAGTCCCCTCGGCACATAATAATCAAAACACTAAACATACAGAATAAAGAAAGAATATTAAGAGCAGCAAAAGAAAAAGACCAAGTAACATATAAAGGCAAACCTATTAGAATCACACCTGACTTCTCCATGGAAACTCTGAAAGTCAGAAGGTCCTGGATCATATTCTACCAACACTAAGAGAGACCACAGTTGCCATCTCAGACTTCTGTAACCAGCAAAGCTTTCAATCACTATAGATGGAGAAAACAAGATATTCCACAACAAAACCAGATTTAAACATTACATATTCACTAATCCAGCCCTACAGAAAGTACTGGAAAGAAAACTCCAACCTAAGGACATTAACTACACTCCCAAAAGCATAGGCAATAGATAATCCCACTTTACCAAAAGTGAAAAGAAAAGGAAGGGTAAATCCACAAACAATAACACCACCAACAGAAAATCAAAAACAAACAAGAATTAACACTCAATGGTCCTTAATTTCCCTCAATATAAATGGTCTAAAGTTGCCTATGAAAAGACACAGGCTAACAGAATGGATATGAAGACAGAATCCATCCTTCTGTTGCATACAAGAAACACATCTCAACATCAAAGACAGATATTACCTCAGAGTAAAGGGTTGGGATAAGGTTTTCTAATCAAATAGACCCAAGAAACAAGCTGGTGTAGCAATCCTAGTAGCTAACAAATTAGACTTCAAACTAAAATCAATCAAAAGAGATAAAGAAGGTCATTTCATAGTCATCACAGGAAAAACCCATCAGGAAGAAGTCTCGATTTTGAAATCTATGCCCCAAATACAAAGGCAACCACGTTCGTAAAAGAAACATTACTAAACTCAAATCACACATAAGACCTCACACAGTTATAGTGGGAGACTTCAACATCCCACTCTCACCACTAGACAGGACCATCAGACAGAAACTTAACAACAGAAGTTATGACCCATTTGCGTTTGGCAGACATCTATAGAACACTCCATGCAAACACAAAAGAATATACCTTCTTCTCAGCACCACATGGGGCCGTCTCTAAAATCGACCACATACTTGACAGCACAGCAAACCTCACCAGATACAAAAACATCGGAATAACCCCCTGTATCTTATCAGACCACCATGCTTTAAAGTTAGAAATTCAACAACAACACAAATTACAGAAACCCTACAAACTCATGGAAATTGAACAATGCACAATTGCACCATTCCTGAGTAAAGGAAGAAATAAAGAAAGAAATTAAAGGTTTCCTAGCATTCAATGAAAATGAAGACACAACATACCCAAACTTATGGGACACTTTGAAAGCAGTACTAAGAGGAAAGTTCATAGCATTAAGTGCTCACATGAAGAAACTGGAGAATAGTCACACTAGAGAATTAACAGCACAACTGAAAGCTCTAGAACAAAAAGAATCAAACTCACCCCAGGAAATAATCAAACTGAGGGCCGGAAATCAATATAGTTGAAACAAAGAAAACAATTCAAAGAATCAATGTAACAAAGAGTTGGTTCTTCGAGAAAATCAGCAAGATAGACAAACCTTTATCCATACTAACTAAAAGGCAGAGAGAGAACATGCAAATCAACAAAATCGGGAATAAAAAGGGGGACATAACTGACACTGAGGAAATCCAGAGAATCTTCAGGTCATACTTTGAAAACCCATACTTCACAAAATTTGAAAATTTAAAGGAAATGGACAATTTTCTGGATAGATATCACTTACCAAAATTAAATAAAGAACAGATAAGCAATTTAAACAGACCTATAACCCCTAATGAAATAGAAGCAGTCATCAAAAGTCTGCTAACCAAAAAAAGCCCAGGCACAGATGGCTTCAGCACAGAATTCTACCGGAAATTCAAAGAAGAGATAATACTAATACTCCTCAAACTGTTCCACGCAATAGAAGCAGAAGGTTCATTGCCAAACTCTTTTTACAAAGCTACAATTACCTTGGTATCCAAGCCATACAAAGACACAACTGAGAAAGAGGACTACAGACCAATATCGCTCATGAACACTGATGCAAAAATACTCAATAAAATACTGGCAAATTGAATCCAAGAACACATCAGAGGAAATCATCCACCATGATCAAGTAGGCTTCATCCCAGGGATTCAGGGATGGTTCAACATACAAAAATCTACCAATGTAATCCACCATATAAACAAACTGCAAAAGAAAAACCACATGATCATCTGAAAAAAACCTTTGACAAAATCCAAAACCCCTTCATGATACAAGTCCTGAAGAGATCATGGATAACAGCAACATACCTGAACATAATAAAAGCAATATACAGTAAACCAACAGCCTACATCAAACTAAATGGAGGGAAACTCAATGTGATTCCTCTAAAGTCAGGAACAAGACAAGGCTGTCCACTCTCTCCATATCTCTTCAATATTGTACTTGAAGTTCTAGCTCAAGCAATAAGACAAGGGGATACAAATTGGAAAGGAAGAAGTAAAACTTTCA